TTAAAGTCGTTGTACCACGTAAATTTAAAATCATTATTTTTAGCAAATATTCTAACTTTATAAAAGAGATCCCTATTATAAGGTGAAAGTTCATGATTAATAAAGATTTTACCGTTTCCCCAATTGATATTAAAATTATTACCATTTAATTTTTTAATTTTCATGTTCTCCATTATTTTATTTTTATTATCGACCGAGTTTAATACAGCAATAATTTTCTTAGGTTTATTTAAAAACTTAGAATACATACTGTAGGCTTTATTTACTGATAAATTTACTCCCAACTTGTCCGCAATGTTCTTAACAATTTCCACACAACTTTCATTAGGCGATTCAGGTACTCCGATAATTTTCACATTATTGCTCACAGCCTTTTGTTCCAATAAATTGACCTTCCTTGACAATATTTTTACGATGTTATTTATTTTACTGTTTTCCATTATTAAACACTTATTCTCTTCTTTTAGCTCTTTAATTGTGTTAAGGACCTCACTTAATTGTTTAGAGAAACTATCAAATTGAGCACTCATAAACTTCACCGATTCGGTAAAGCAAGTAAGGGGTTCATTTGACTCATCACTAGAGTTGACATTCTTGTTAAGAGCTGTGTTACAAACCGTTGCAGATTTGCAGTTAACACAACACCAGTTATCCTCGTTGCTTCCCCATTTTTGGAAAGGATGCTTCTCTGAGGCTGGCGCAAGAAAAATATAAAAATTCTTTACAGGCAGTACATTTTAACTCTTCGCCTTGATACATTTCATCATTACATAGTAAGCACAACATTATTTAATCACACTGTAACACTATAGAACATTAACCGGAAAATATACAGATAAAAGTATAAATAATTAAACACTATAACGCTATTGAACATTGACCGGTGATTGCACAGATAAGAGAGCGAAAAGAATACCATGACTAGCTGTGATAAACACACAACAGTAACTGTGAAATAATTGTTATAAAGAGAATGTGTTCATAATTGTAAAATAGAAAATATTTAAAAGATAGTTAAACGAAATAGTAAACTTCAAAAACGGGTTAAATACAATAGAAAATGTTTCAATAAATTTCTTATAGCTTATAGCTTATTCCTACCAAGTTAAATGCACTGAATGATATTTACATACCATTATATAACCTACATTAAAATTTTGGTTATATAATACATTTACAAAAAACCTATTTTCTATTGGTTAATACTTATTTGTTATTTAATACACCTCAGGTATCAGTGGCGCTGAACACGGGTATAAGTCGGGCGGTCGCCCGACCAAATTTTTTGGGTGGTGGTGGTGGTGGTCAAGTTTTTGGTTGTAAATAATAATAATATTATGCTATACTTCTTATAGATATTATATTATTGTTTTATAACACGTAATCAATTAATTCCGTTAGCCATTTTAGAATATAATAACTATTAACTAATAAGCAATAAGTTAGGTACCAATTATATGCAGTAAGACCTGTGTAATGTGTACAGCGTAAATAACTATATAATATTGTTATAAATGTACCTATATAATAATTAATATTATGTGGGTATGGGTACTACGAAGTACGATCTATTGTCAATTCACTCAATTCTGATAATTCTATTTATTGTATTAATATAGCTTATCATTATTAATAAATGGTTGGCCCGTAGACGTTGATGTTAATAATATCATGTAATAATATCATATCTATGTACGGGAAAAATAAAAAAAAGTCTATTTATAAATTATATTTAGTACGGATGTACGGTGAATAGGTTTTATCAACATTTCATAAGCTACGATATAAGTATTGCCTATGGTGTTATTATCTTTTATTAATGATTCAAAACAAGATTTTTTTTTGTGGATTGTCAATTTTTATTGCGAAATCTTTGATTTAATTTGAATATTAATTACTTAATAGTTTTGGTTTAGACTTGAATTCAATAGCTAATTTAAATATGTCTAGTGAAGGTGAAAAATGCAATTTTTGTAATCGTTTAAGAAATAATTTGAACAAAGTAAATTGGAATCGCCATTTAGCTAAGTGTGAACTTTTATTTTCGACAAAAATAACTAAACCAAACAAAAAATCTAAAAATGATCGATGTGGCGATATTAAATCATTTTTTTCAGATAAAAGACCGAAAACAGAAAATCCTGATTATGATAAACAGATTCAAATACCATCAGTTAGTGATATTTTACCAACTGACACTCCTACTGCAGGTAATTATAAAAATTATTTATCTACTTATAATTTTAAAATGTATTGGAATTTTGTAAAATTTTAAAATTTAAAATTATCAATTTAGTAAAGCTATAAATGTAGGAATTATTGTGATTTTTAAATTTTAATATAACAATTATAACCTATACCCAAAATATAAATTGTTATGAATATATTATATATTTATAAATTCTATTAGGTATACCTATTATATTATATTGCTTTCATTGAATTAGGTTTAGGTACCTACTAATTTGATAATTTAATTATTTTAAATTATTTTTCGCCTACAAAAAATACAATTAGTAGGTACAAGTTTTAATTATAATTTTTTGTTGTACATTCATGTGTTAAAAAGACATTTTTATTCATTGTTTTACACTAAATTTCTACTAGTATAATTCTTTAAATCCATAATTACAAGAAAAATCGCCTGCAGTTTATGAAGACCCTACAGGTACTAAGGGAAATGCTGAATCCTACATGTATTAACTACCATCAAACACCATCGGTTCAGTGACATTTTACAAACCTGACACTCCTACTGTGCTGGTAATTAATAAAAATTTATTTAGATCTACTTATAATTTTAAAATGTATTGGCATTTTATACCAACTAAAACTTAAAAATTGACAATTATTATAAAAATACAAAAAGGCGTCAACATTGAAAAATACAATGTTTTTATTAAATTTTTTGTTGTACATTTGATGGTTAAAAACAAATTTTTATTCATGTTTTACAACTACATTTACCCATATAAATTCATTTAAATGCATAATCACAGAAAAATCGCCTGAAGTTTATGAAGACCCTACAGGGTCAAAGGGAAACGCTGAATCTACATGTATTAACTACCATCAAACACCATCGATCAGTGAAATTTTACCAACCGACACTCCTACTGCTGGTAATTATAAAAATATTATTTATATTTACTTATAATTTTAAAATGAATTGGCATTAAAACCGAATTAAAATTAAAAATTTTAATTTTATTGGAAAAAATATAAAAAGCTACAATTAAAAATACATGTTTTGACAGAAAATTTGTCTGCAGTTTATGAAGACCCTACAGGGTCAAAGGGAAATGTTGAATACACAGATATTGAGTATTTAGAGGCTACAAGTATAGAAAAGGATAAACTATTGTGTTTGGAAAATTCTGAATCTACTCAATTAGATCTTTTGGAGGTAAGAAATTATATTTTTGATTAAAAACAATATTTTAATTAGACTAGTAAAAAAAAAAATAGAAATTGATAACTGTTTTTATTATTTATATAAATAATAAATACTTAATAATAGGTAGTATTGTAGTAAGTATTAAGTAGATTGATAAGATTACTGATAAGTATACAGACTTATCAGAAATATTTTTCAACTGAATTTTGCTTACATATTCTCAAATGTCTGAGCAATTGAATGATTTTTAACCCACACATTTTAGAATTTTAGAATCAATGGTGGAAATTTTTTTTTTTTAAGTTATATTATTTTTCTATAAATGATTAATAACTGTTTTTATTTGTTAGTTAATGAGTTGCTTGTATTAAATATAATAAAAAATACATTTTTATACAATTTGTAGTTCTCACTTACTTACGTTTTAGGTTTCATTGATATCATAGTTATATAATAATTGTGTAGTTTTACTTTGGAAATAATAACTATAAATATTAAATTCAAAATAAGTAATTTTTTGTTGTGTAGTTATTTGTTAAGTAAACATAATAATTATAACGTATAAATAAATATGTTATAGGAGAATTACTCTGACGATTTTTTTGAAATTATCAGCAGCCTCAACTTGGAAAAATGATCCCTTTTTGTTAATAAAAATTAAGCATTTTACACCAGAAATTATAAGTATGATTGTGGAATGGGTACCATGTCAGCCAACTTCTGATTTTCTACCAAATAAAGAATTTTTAAAAGACAAAGATGGACGGCATTTTCATGCAGGATGGTACTACAGAACTCATACAGATGGAACTAAAACAAGAAGAAACTGGTTAACTTATTCACCATCGCTAAATAAGATATTTTGTTTAGACTGTATTTTATTAGGAAGAAAAACCGCTAAAGCTTGGGTAAAAGATGGATTTTCTCACTGGAAGAATATGGGCATTGCAGTAATTAACCATGAAACAACTAATGCTCATATTGAAGCTTCATTAAAAATTAAATTAAGGGAATCTGTTTTACCCTTAATTCCATCCTTGGAAGTAAACCGAAAATCAAGTGTAGCACTTAATAGGGAAATTGTGAAACAACTAATAGATATAACAGTCTTTTTGGGACGCCATTGTTTGCCTTTGAGAGGGCATAGAGAACGCTGGACTGATCAACTCAAAGGTAATTTTAAAGACTTGGTACTTCTGTTATCTGAACATTCACCGGCACTTGCGTCTCATGTTTCAACTCTCAAATTAAAAGGACGTAAAGATACATCTTTTATTTCCTGGGATCGCCAAAATCTTTTAATTGAATCTGTTTCAGAATACATATCACAATTCACAAATTGTTCAATCTGATATTATTTCATCAAGAATATTCAGTGTTTCACTCGATTCTACCTTTGATATATCCCGTAAGGAACAGGTTTCTTTTATCATAAGGTATGTTAATGAAACTAATGGTACAGTTATGGAAAGATTATTAGCATTAAGAGAATCCCCATGCACTACCGGAGTTCATCTTTCTGAGTTATTTCAAATGTTTTTATCATCATAATCTTGATTGGAAATCAAATTTAGTGGGTCAGTCATATGATGGGGCTGCAAACATGAGTGGGCAGTATAATGGGCTTCAAGCTAAAATACTTGAACAAAATCCTCAAGCCCTATTTATTTGGTGTTCTGCTCATAGGTTAAACCTAATAGCTAGTCAGGCAGTAGGATCTTGTTCAAATGCAGTGGATCTATTTGGAAATTTAGAAAAAATATTTACTTTTATCACTGGAAGTAAAGCACGATCAGCTTTTTTTAGATAAAAACAATTAGAACTCTATCCAAAACAACAAATAAGGTCAGTGAAACGTGTAAACACTACTCGTTGGATGTCACATGCCTATGCCTTAAATACCGTACTTGATGTTTACGATGCAGTTTATCAAACAATAGAAGAAGTAAGAAATAGAGACGGAGGATCGGATTTCAAACTTGGTGCTGATTGTAATGGACTGCTTAGCTACTTGACTTCTTATAGGTTTTTAATGACAGCTCTTAGTTTTAAAAAAATATTTGAAATACTTGAACCATTAACCCGTACATTACAAGCTCGTGACATAGATATTTTAGCAGCGATGTATTTAGTTAATAGTGCTAAAGAGTCCATAGTGGCACTGAGAACTGAAGAAACATTTGAAAATATTTTGATATTAGCTAAAGAATTTGATGATAATATGATAATGAGGAATTTGAGCCATTGCGGACAACAAGAAAACGTAAAGTTAGAAAAATGGCTGGGGAATTATGTAGTGATGAAGTTGAACAAAATCCTATTCAAAAGTTTAAGGTAGATACTTATTTTGTTAGCATTAGATATTATAAAACACATTAGTCAAGGATTTACTAATAAACTATTGAAGTAATGAAAGATTTTGCTTTATTATCAACCAAACGTATAAAAGAATTAAAAAAAACCCTAAAAGCATTCCTATAGATGCTTTAAGGCTGTTTGTTTGGTAATATAATACATTATTAAGTAGTAAAATGTCCGTAGGGAGTATGAACAGTTTATAAATTGTGATTTAATTGTTAATGAAACTTTACCATTGTATCTGCATCCTAATTTAAATGATGACAATTCAAGTTTGAGCTCTAACGATTCAAACAGTGACGATACTACATCTGAACAATTAAAAAGGTGGCAAAATTCATCAAGTTTAATGTGCGTTTTTCAAGATTTCTGTAAAGCTGGTCTAAAATCTATATTCCCAAGTTTATTTATGCTTATAAAAATTGGAGTGACTATTCCAGTATCAAGCTGTTCCCCAGAGAGATCTTTTTCCAAATTAAAATTAATAAAAACTCGTTTAAGAAGCACAATGGGGGAAGATAGATTGGAAGATCTGATGCGTATCACTTGTGAAGCTGATATACAGTTAGATTCAGAAACAATAATAGACAACTTTGCGACAAAATCTACAGTTTTAAATAAAAAATTAAAATACTAAAATAATCTAATTATTTTTTATCAATTTGTTTTTAGTGAATATTTTACTCTTTACTGTAATTATCATTAAAATAAATAAAAATTATTTATATAAAAGTTTAAATTATTTTATTTATTATCTATTTTATTATATAATAATTTATAACTACTACTATTAATATTTTATTTGTGAAATTCTATTATTAATTATTAGTAACTTATATTATTACAGTATTACAACTGTTTCAAGTTATGTGTACCTATATTATTAATTTTTATAATATATTTAAATAATTTGTAAAGAAATATATACAAATGTGTGTTATTGTAAATAGAGGAATATTATTAAGGGGGTATGGGGGGCAGAGCCCCCCATTAATTTGTAAAATTTTTTTTTTGGGTCCGTGGTGGGTGTATTGCCTATTTTGGAAAGTTTGCCCGACTATTTTAATACTGTCTCGGCGCCACTGTCAGGTATAATACATGCAATTCCTAAACCTTAGAGTCAATACTCAATGATATAACATTAAATATGGCATAGGGTTCGGATGTTTATGACTTAAGATATTCATGTGACTTTGAAGTAAAACTATCTTGGGATACATTTAATAATACATTAATAAATGTTATACTTTTTACCTATTGAATATGATTCTCTACGCTTTTACACCTACACATAAGGCACACAAATATTGAAAATAAATTTATTTAGTATAGATTATACTCTCACCGCTACCAATAAACAGGTAAATGGTTTTAAATTTTACTTTACTATTATTACACATACACAACTATTTCTAACAATATAGAGATAAATGCACTGAACGATATTTACATATTATTAGGTTACATATCTACATTATATTTTAGTTTACAAATACTTAACTCCAAATACACCAATTACCATCTCCTTTGTAATTACAATTCACAATTATTTGTAAATATATACATGTCTATATTTGTTTCAGGGACATGCGTCAGGTGTGGCTGGCGGAAAGAGCCCTAGCCGATCCTGCAGCTGTGAAACCCAGACCAGTCAGGATGCATTTCGTCGAAGATGCGGCCCGGGATAGGGGCCGAAACAACCTGCCTACCGCAAATGAAGTTGCGGCCGTGTTCGTAGGTGACGGTGGTCTTCCTCCCAGAAACATCAATCTGGTCATCTACGACACCAATCCAATCGACCAACAACGGAGGACCCAATTCATACCAGCGGGTTAGTTAATAAATATTGAACGCATACAATATTTACTATACACTAGGATTGAAATACTTCCTTTTCGAGTCTAACTGCCACCAACGAAGAGTTAAATTACACCCTATCATATAGCTTTATTACATCATACATTTTAGCCTTTTTTTTTGAAATTTAATTACTCAATAACCAATACTTTAGGTCAACGCCGACTTCAACCCTCCCACTTGTGCAGTAATACTTATTACATTAGCAGTTTGAGTATGTTGGGCGATAAAACATAAGTCATTACATTATAATACATTTCATGTCAATTTTCCTCCTGAATAAATTATTTTCATAGTCATAGTATGACAATAAGTTGCATTACTTCAATGCTTAATTCACTGTTCTCTTATTTCATAATAACAATAACTAACATCACTTAGAATTATTAACACTTGGTATAGAAATTGGCCGAGTTCATATTTTAGATTATTTTATAAATTACCTTTCTTTTGCGGTTCTAAAAAACATCATGTACTTACACACAATAAATAAATAACTCACAGTTTTAATTGTACACAGTAAATATCCGACCACACATACATTCTCTACATTCTTTTGAAATTTAATTAGTTATTTATTAATTAATTAGGGCAAAACCAACATATACTGGGTGATTCTTTTATCAAACAACACTCATTATTTCAAAAAGCGTAAATTTTTTTGAAGATATTTTTTTACATAGTTTCAAGTCGCTTATAAAACAACGTTTTTATTAAAAAATTATATTTTTAAATATTTTTTATCCTTATAATTTTTTAAGTTTTTTACCTTTTTGAATAACAACATAGGGTTTTAATTTTATATTCCAAACAGAATATTTTTCTTAGTATTTTGATACATGAAAATTTAATTTGGGGGGGGGGGGAAGTTTATGAGTTTATGAGTCTAAACTTTAAATACTTATAACTCATAAACTACTCAACCCAAATTCGATTTTCATGTATCAAAATACTAAGAAAAATATTCTGTTTGGAATATAAAATTAAAACCCTATGTTGTCATTCAAAAAGTAAAAAACTTAAAAAATTATAAGGATAAAAAATATTTAAAAATATAATTTTTAATAAAAACGTTGTTTCATAAGCGACTTGAAACTATGTAAAAAAATATTTTCAAAAAAATTTACACTTTTTCAAATAATGAGTGTTGTTTGATAAAAGAATCACCCAGTATAATAACACTTATTAAATTAACAGTGTAAATTCATTGTGTTTGTGTAAAACAAGCCATTATACATTATTACATATTGAATACAGTGTGGATCGACATAATACCTATCACATGTCTCATCAATTTTTCCTCCTTAATAAATTATTTTCATAATTTTTTAGTGGTAGTGTTACAATAAGTAACATTAATCAAATCTAAAGTTACATTACTTCAGTATTTTGTGCTCTTATTTCATAATTTGACTGACACCACTTTTACAGACATACACTATTAACATATTTTGTGGTTCTACAAAACATTATGTAGGTACTTGCTATACACACACAATAGATATAAATAACTACTAAACGTATCTTCATAAAGTAACTCTCAGCTACTACAGACCTTTGGTTTAACTTAAAGTTTATTATATTTCTCAAGGTTCGTGTCACTCGGATCCCATGTTGTATCCGCTGTTTTTCCCGTACGGCGAGGCCGGTTGGCATAACGGGATGTTGCAAGAGGGCCCTCGACGAAACAATGTCCGCAGTCGAAACACTATAAGAGAGTTCGCGTGCTACCGTTTGGGCATTCGATATGAGGGAAACAACGACACGAGGCACCAACTGTTCAGCTCAATACATCAAGGCCAGTCCTTGTTGCACATGTTTGTGTGCGACCACTACGTTCAGATGGAAACCAACAATCTGAACTACATACGTGAGAATCAGAGGGATCTCCTTACCGAAGCGTATCAAGGGCTCGTGGACCATGTAAACCAACACCTCAACATCGAACCTATGGCGGTCGGCCGTAGGATCATTTTGCCGTCGACGTTCGTGGGCAGCGACCGATACAACAAGATGTGTTATCAAGACGCTATGACCATGGTCCGTAGCAAAGGAAAACCCGACCTGTTCATAACGTTTACGTGCAATCCCAGGTGGCCGGAGATAACAGAAAACCTGGCGGCTCACAGCAATGCAAACGACAGGCCCGACCTGGCGGCCAGGGTGTTCAACAGAAAACTGCAGGAGCTACTAGGTGACCTGACTGTTAATCGTGTGTTTGGTAATGTAGCCGCTTATGTATATACTATCGAGTTTCAGAAACGCGGTCTGCCCCATGCGCACATACTTATAATCCTGGAGGAGGATTGTAGGTTCCGCACGGCCGCGGACGTCGACGACGTGGTTTGCGCCTTCTTGCCGGACCCGGAGACCGACAGGCGCTTACACGACTGCGTGAAGTCCCACATGATACACGGACCGTGTGGAACAGTAAACCCAAGGTGTCCGTGCATGGTGAACAACAGCTGCTCAAAAGATTTCCCCAAAGCTTACGCAGAGGAGACTGTGTACGTTGCGGACGGCGGCTATCCAAAGTACCGCCGACCGGACGACGGCCGGGTGGTACTTGTGAGAGGTCATGAAGTCGGTAACGAGTGTGTAGTTCCATACAACCCTTACCTTCTGGCCAAGTACGACGTGCACATCAACGTCGAGATCTGCACGTCCATAAAGAGCGTCATGTATATCTACAAGTATATATACAAAGGACACGACCGTGTGACATTGGAGGTCGAGGAGGAAGATGAAATCGCCAAGTGAGTCTTGACCTTACATTATAATTATGTAATTTCTAAAATTAAACGTGCAAATATAATACAATATAATACTATATAATGTATACATGTGTATGGTATAATGATTATAATGGTGGATTGTATACTTTGGTGTGTTCAGTGTCAGTATGTATGAATTATTTACTACTTTTTAGGGCAGTTGTATACATTCACCAATACCTTTAAGTTTTTATATTGCATTATATTATATTATATGGCTTGGTACAAGAAGAGCCAATGTCATATTTTGACAATGTTCAGGAATTCAATTTTAAACTTAATTTTGGAACTCTAAATGTGTTTTTATTTCATTGTAGGACTCTCATTTTGTACGTTTTACTTTGACATTGGCCACCCAGAAAAATTAATAAAATTACTTTGGTTTTGACTACTATTTAAGAAAACATTTCTACATTACTAAACTTTCTATTGCATACAGAACTACACATTAGTTAAATAAATAGTTAACTAATTATTTAGTTATATATAGTTTATCTTTAAACTATAAATCTTAAATTTAAAATTTATGAAATCTTTATAAACTTTCTATTGCATACAGTACTACACATCAGTTAAATAAATCATATTATTAATAACATGTATAATTTATACATGTGTATGTTATAATGATTGTTATTGTGGATTTTATACGTTTATTTAGTGTGTTCAGTGTGTATGAATTATTTACTACTTTTTAGGGCAGTTTGCCATTACGGCATTACCATTATATATTCAATGTGTTGTTCAGGTATTATTATATTATGTACTTATACAGAGAGTTCTATAGGTGGTCTACATTAGTACACAGTACCTACATACTATTGATACATTTTTATTATAGGTATTACATTGAAAATTATTAGCATGTAACAATATTTTATGCATGTTTTAGCAGTGTGTCCAGTGTTATTTTACTCACTGCATTTTAGGTTTTTAGGGTAGTTGTATACTTTTACCAATAACTTTTATACTAGCTATATTATATACTTTACATTTAATGTGTTTA